TCCCAGCATCAGCCTATGCATTGCAGCAAGTTTATCTGTGGTGTTACTAAACTGCCTTCAATAGAAGGAATAAATTTGGTCTCCTAAAGCTAAATTCAGGGGGGCTGAGATAATCCTATTGGTAATTTTGACTGACAACTCAGGCCAGTGTTTGTTTTTACTTGTGGCAATGCTGCAGGAGAAGGAGCGGGCTTTCTTGGATGGGAGGTTTGCACACATCTTGCTTGCTGGGGCTTCAAATGTACTGTTATCACAGTGCAAACTCTTTTCCTGCTTCAGTTATTTGTGGCCATCCTTATCTGCACAATAACAAGAGCTGTGGGTATGTTGGGAATAAAAGAAGAGAACAAAAAAGATTATTCTCACAGTCATTCACTTGCTTTTGGCATCTAAATCTTCTTTGGCTTCTCAGAAGCTGTGATATTGGTCTTCAAATGCAGACAATACTGAATGTAATGTTATTTTGAAGATGTTTAAGCCTGATTGGTTCTCATTAGTTAAAACAATGATGGTATTTTCAGCTTGCCAGATAAAACTGTGCTTCATGTTTTTAGCTCTTAATTCAATTGGATATCTTCCAGTAGCAAATGGTTTCAGGTTATTAATTTCTTCATTACAAAAGTGATTGTCTGAAGTCTGACCTGACTTTGGAATGATATTGAGATACTTCTTTGCTGCATGTTCTCAGACTTCCCATGAGCTGGATTTTGTTTGAGCACTGACAACATGCACTACACTTTTTGCCCACCCATGCCATGAACACCACAACTTGCTTCCTATGGAACAGAGCTCTCCGAGTGGATGAAAAGGAGTCTATTCTTTTCATTTGCACAGGATGTCTCTAGATTTATTTCCAGGAGCCAAGACTGCTGTAGGTAGTAATACTCCCCTGGCAATTTTTTGTTTACCTTTGTCTAGAGTCTGTTCTTGTTTGAACTTTTCTCTCAGGCTGTCTGGGCTGACTCTGATTTCCTGATGCACCATTTCCTCTTTTTATCTCTCCACTGTTTGCGCAGCCTGTTTGAACTTCAGTCATTCGTCAACTCTGTGTCTTCACCTTCATGTGCAAATGTGCGTGCATTGGTTGCTCTGCTGCAGAGTAGAAGGTTACTGCTTTTTTTTATGTGGGGAGTGCCATACTAAGGAGATTTTCACCTTAGCTTAACTGCCTGGGTACTCTGGTATACATTATTTTCATATCTTTGTAACTTCATTTCACTTTCTATATCTGCAAAAGCAAAATGGGGGAATAAACAGGTGACCACTGCTTTTTCTAGAGCCAATTTGCTAGGTAAATTAGATGGTCCAGGGATCTCTAGTGTTTTGGAAGATTTTGGAAGGCAGTATATAAAACCATTACAATCTTTCCACCACAAATTTCCCCCTGCCACACACAAACACACACACACACACACACACACACACACACACGTCTGCACATATTCACATCCAGGCTCTAAAGCAAACTAAGTCAGTCTCATTTTTTGAACAAGACCCCTCGTGGCAGTACTGATGCAGCTGGTTGCTCGACTTCTCACCAAAAAACCCAAAGGCCCTCCAATTAGAAGAGTTTTAAAGCATCTCTTTAAATAATCCTGTACAAACCACACACCAAGTCACTCTGCAGCACTATCACAGATAAGACAGATAGAGCAAATGCAGTTTAAATGAAAACCAGAGGGAGGAATACTGCTTAAAGCAACTGACTTTTATTGACAGAGTACTGTAAGGCAAGGAAAAAATGTTTGCCAGATTTTTTAAAAAGAAGTTTTGCAGCAAGAATGATTCAGAAAGATCTGCAGTTCAATATATTATTGAACTTTCAAAGATACTATCTTTTATAAATCCAATATTTATCTTGTCCTATATACAAAAGCTCAATTTAAACAATCACAAAACAGAACACAAAATAATGGATTTGCATATGAAATTCTGTTGATGGTTCATAAACGAGTAAACAAGAGAATGCACATGTTCTGTTACTATAGAGTTACAGTTGACTAGGTTTAAACTTAAATACACTCCAAAACAGACAAAGAAACCACAAAATACAGATGTTCAATATGATTATTTTTGAAAAAAATCAAAACCATGTTCAACCCTACACAGGGAACAAAACATTGATAGATGCCAAGAAAGCTATATTTTATGGCCAAAACTGATTTTGCATTTATGGTCAAGGCATCTGTGAAAACAATACTGTATTCTGACCACTCTACATTAATATTTTGGCCAGAAAACATCACAAAGCACTAGCTTTTGTCTGCTTTTTAAAGGATGTACTTTTAAAGTGGTGATGTATATTAACTGTGAGCCTCTTACAAGATCTCACGTTGGGCCATGTTAGAGCAACCTATCATTTCCATAGGAAACAATGGTAAAGAAAAGGTCCCAGCTATGCTAAAAGATCCAGTTAAGGGGATGAGCAACGAAATCTGCAACCTCTTAGTTCTTCCTTGAGGGAAGGGCACATTTTCCGGCAGCCCTGAATTCTGAAACTAACAAACTCTGCTGTGGTTTGTGGCTTTTCTCCTCTACGTCTGTCTCTGTACAGCATCGGTCTTTCACTGGAAAAACTTTTACGAAAGGGATAGCTGCTTTTTCAGCAGTGATAATGTAGCACTACTGGTGCTTCATAAAATAACCGAAGGCTAACACGTCAAAATATGATGCATCGGGATAAAAGGGACCGAGGTACTTACCCACAGTACAGTGTCATGCCTTAGCTTTGCAGGGCCATAGCACAAGTACTAACATGGGTAAGTAAAACTCACTTCTACCTATACAGGCAAAACTGAATTCTATTTTAAGAGCCATACAATACTACTCTGCAATTAGAACCCCCAGCATGCTAATTTTTATCACACAGACAAGAAGAGAGCTATCTTAAGACTACACAGGGAAATGGGACCCAATTAACAGGACAAAAATGACACCATACATATATGTAACCAGTATATTCTGAAAATGAAGCATAAACCATGGTTTTCACACAGAAGTCTTTTGCTAGATGCTTAAATGCACAGTTTTCATGTCTTTTTAAATTTTTTTCTTTTTTTTTTTGTTTGTTTTCTGTTTTCTCTATGAAAATCAAGCTCTTTGAATAATTAACCAAAACCCAAGGATATTTACATTTTAAAAGCCAGTCCTTCACCTTCTTATTTTAAAATGAGTTATCCTGTATCTTGCATATTTTAAAAAAAGGTCCAGAAAAAGCTTTGATTTGCAATTCAGAATCTGTACTTTGTAAAAATACTTCCATTGAATGTGAAGTCAGTGCTGACCTCTTCAGGTCATTTGTGAATAATAAAATCTTTCCAAAGAAACGTTACTTTTGGGTTGGCCAAAATGTAATTGCATTTTTTTTCTGGATAAATGAAAGGTAATTTTTTAATGGAAAAACAGATTTTATTAAACAATATATTATCCATTTTGTTCAATTACCTTTTGCCATCTTTCAGGCAACTTCATGATTCTGCGCTCAAAAAAGTTCTTATCTTTTTTGGCAAAAAACAGTTCCAAGAACGATTTGATGTCCTCATCAGCAGTGAAGGTTTTACCATTCAAAGTGTTTTATAAAGAACAAAATAATTGTGGTCTGATGGCGCCAGGTCTGGTGAATGTGGTGGATGCAGTAACACATCCCGACCAAGCTGCAACGATTTTGACAAGTGATCAAACTTGGACGTGGTCTAGTGTTATCATGGAGAAACACACCACCTTTGTGATTAATTTAATTTATCCAGTTGATGACAGCACACATTCAAATTAATGGTTTGATACCTTGGAAGCAATGCAAAATACACAATACCTTTGAAATCCCACCAGACTGACAGCATAACCTTGCTTTGGTGCATATCTGCTTTTGAAGGGCTTTGAGCTGGTTTATCACACTTGCTCCATGATCTTTTTTCATTTGTTGCTGTTGTAGACAATCCACTTTTCATCGCCTGTTATCATACGTTTCAAAAAGGGATCATTTTCTTCACGTTACAAGAGAATCACAGATGACAACATACTTAGTGAGATTAATTTCTTTGAGCTCATGTGGCACCCAAATACCAAGCTTCCAAATGTATCCAAGTTGTTTTAAATGCTTTTCAATGTTCAATTTCTATATGTTAAGATTATCAGCAATCTCCTGTGTTGTTAAACACTGACGAGATTCAATCAATGCCTTTATTTTGTCATTATGAAGTTTGACTGGCATTTCTGAGCATGGTGCATTTTTAACATCAAAATCTCCAGATCAAAATTTAGCAAAACAATTTCGACACTACTGTAGTTTTAACGCATTGTCACTATACACATCACATAACTTTTTATGAGCTTGCACAGCATTTTTTCCTTTTCTGAAGTAATACAGTGAAATACGACAACATTCCTTCTGATTTTTCATTTTGAAATCAATGCCAAATAAATAATTGTTAATGAAATTGTGCACTTTCTTTTGCTAAAACAAGCTTGAACTGTCAAGTTACATAATGAATTTGTGGTTTAAAGTGAAGTTAGTTACATTTCAAGACATGTAAATCCATCTATTAAAAAAAATATGCAATTACTTTTTGGACAACCCAATAAATAAGAACTGAGGGAAAACACAAAAAGAAGAAATACATTACCTCTGTATTGTAAAGTGTTGCCACTTTAAAGTGTATTGTTTGAAGAAAAACAGAGGTGTGTATATCAAAATACATTTTCATTATATAGCTATAGAACATATGAAATCTTTCAACGCTCGGTCTGCTAAAGGCAATAAAGTCTCTCTGGCTTTGTTAGTACTGCTATGGTATACAGGTTTCTTAAAGAACAGTATCTATAGAGGTGGATTCTAACACATAAGTGTGTGCTACGCTTCATATGGCAGAAGGATAAGCATTTTAAAAAATTATGACATTGATTTTAAAGAAATTGTACGTCACACAGTGTCTTCAGTTCTAAACATAGAAAATTAGATTGTACTTGAAGTGGTTGTTGTTGCAGAATGACTTAAATTTTTCTCAGATATCAAGAAGGTCCTCTCCACTCTCATCACTTTCCACAGTTAATTGTCTTGTCCACCATTTCTTGACTTCTGATCCACAAGAAGCAGCATCGGACATGGGATTCATTTTGCATACAACAGATTTCATAGTTGAACGTCCACCAAAGCGGAGGTTTACTGAAGATACTGAATGGCTTATTGGTTTGGGGGCTATGTAATGAAACAGAAAGTTTGTGTTAGAGCAGATCTGCTTCTTGAATAGTTTTGCTTAGAATTCAGGTATATAGAACTAGCTGGACTGAGGCAGCTTTAAACTGATTTACTCCACAAAGAATATGGCTTTGTTCTGATTTTTTCCCCCAGCTTTAGCTGTTCACTCTGCTCCCCCGTATCTGCTGGTAGAGGAGTTTAACTAAGCAGTGCCTCATTTCCCATTGCTGAGATAGCTTCTGCAATAGGTCTCTTCTTAACTGGCTAATTGTAACGTAAATGGTTTAGGCAGTACTTACATGAGCTGACCTGCTGGCAAAATGGTGAAAGTGGTAAGTGCCAGAAAAAGGGAGGGAAAAGTGCATTTAGAGTTGGCAGCTACATCTAGAAAGTGATATTTAACTGTGGCCCATGGGTGGAAGCCAGTACGAGGTGCTGGTATGGCTTTAGGAAAGCACTAAAACACATGTGAAATATATGAAAACCACGACTGATCTTAATGATGCTATTCATGATCTTAAACACATGTCTTTGTTGGACTGGGGGCAGAGTACTTATCTGCTGAGCTGTACTGTGCATGTAGGTGACCTTCCTTTTCTGAGACCGTCCAACCAAGGAACATTCAAGAGTGACATGGCCAAGATCAGTGCCAAGAAAGGAAACCCTCAACTCCTCATTCTCACTTGAAAAACCTATCCAGTTGACTATAATACTGTACAATTCCTCCTTAGTATGGTCTTTCTCTCTATACCTACAAAGCTTTGATCTTTGCTGCTCAGTGACATTTAAGTGGAAAATGTGGACTTGAAAGCTCTCTATTAAGCTGTCCTGTTTCTTGGAAAGTACTCTGGTCACAAAAGTAGGGTTAATGGCACTCATAGCATGAACATCTCTTTTACTTCCGCCTTGATACGATTAGGGCCTGAATAACAGCAGACTTTGAAGGCAGCTCTCTGACTTGGAATAGGACTGACTGATGACAGCTGAAAGCAGGTTGATGTGCAGACACCTAACCTGCTGGTCATGAGTGTGGTGGGCAGCAGAGGTCAATATGCACTTTAAGAGAGATTATTTCAGGTGGTGGAGAGTGCTCTTGAGATAAAGACTTAATAAGGTCTGAGACTGTACCTATGAACCTCTCCCACCCTCCTATAAGCACTCTCCTATAAGGCATAGTCTAGCCTTCCTCTTCTAGCGAACTGTAGTTACTAGAATAGCTTGAGGAAGTTTCCTGTTTGTGAGAAAATAAATGGGATATTGATTGTATACCTGACCAACTCCTGGCTGAAGTGAAGCTATAAAAATATATTATGATGGTGTAAAGTATAAATCATACACCAAGTATGCTTAAGCAAGACAAAGCACTCACAAGCTATTACTGTTGTTAGGAAAAAAATAATTAATTTTCACTGTGCTTTATATGATAAAAGAAAATTCTAAATGCACAACATGCTACCCAAACACATGGGATGCTACAGTCCCCAATCCAAAGAACCTTAGTAAAGGTATAAAAAAGTAAAAAAAAAACCAACCAACAATCTGCAGATAGCAATAGCTCATCTTCCAAAGTTTCAGAATTGGGAGGAAGGGGAAAGATTGCTGTATTTCTGCATGCACAAGGGTAGAAACACTCTGACGTGGGTGCAAGCAGCAGGCAGGAGGTAGAACTCTGAATCATGAAGTCACTCATGGCCTTGTTATTGTACAGCAGTGATTTGGCATGTAGGGACAATGCTGATACATATTTTTCACTTACCTGATGGCAAACGCCATTGTCCAAATTTCCGCTGAGGTTTCCCAGCATCTGTAGAGTCTTGCCGATAGCCACCTCTGTCTGAAAGTGTTGGGCTAAGGAGCTGCTGCTGGCTACTTGTCTGGACAGAGAAAAATAGAAAATCAGTCATAGTTCCCCATTGCATGGGGGTAATCCTAAGAAGAGTTATCTTTCTATTTTATTTCCAAGCTTTATACATGAATACAAACAAAATATATTGCTATTTGTTAAGGCAGCACAGTTTCTATTTTTCACTTCCCCAGAAAATTACTACAAATAGGAAAAGAAAAAAAAAAAGACCCTTTGTGCTCAATTCCATTATACAGTCCCACTGAAGGACGCAAAATTGTTCTCAGTCTTCTAGAGTGGAGTCCTTATGTTGTACCTTCTCCGTTCCCAACCCTTGAAAAGCCCAGGACTCCTACTCACAGGACCCAGCATGCCCAATGTTATCACTCTTGCTGTAAAAACTACTTCAGAATGCTTGAACAGGAAAACTTCAAGTCCCTGAGCCTGTACACAGCTCATGCTAGAGCTGAAGGTTGGTGCTGTCAAAGCTGCACAGCTGAGTCTGTCCTTTAAGGTGCTACCAAGACAGCCAACTAAGCTGAAGAATGGCATTAGACCATCTTGGCTTTATTCCTGAAGGCAAAGTCCAAAGCAAAACAACTTTTCCAGTTAAAATGACATTTTAAAAAAGAACAAATAAGAAACTTGGAACTTTTCTCAATTTGTTCTGAGTAGCTGATAGTCTTCTGCTTAACATACCTCTGGCTGTGCACTGTTATCCTGATTAATAGCATTCATATCTTCACTTGGCTGTGTTGTCTCAATGCTGGGAGGATTCAGAAATCGGCTCAGCTCCTGCTGTTGACTCTCTCGTAGACTATGGATAATGCTGCACGACTGTTGTTGTTTCTAGCAAGGTACAATAAAAATTTCTCATTGGTGTGTCACAGTTTTTGATATTTTTCAAAGCCTTCTAAATATTTAACCAAGCAGTGAGTGCCAGATGTGGATACCAGTTGCATCGATAAAGCTACATGTATCAGATGGTTGCTATTTAAACAAAGTGACTTCCAGCATATGTCTAACTTTTATGGAGGAAATAGAAGACAAAACTTATTAACTATATTAAGAGGAAGGCAATTTGCTCAAATGTTAATTTAAACCTAGGGCTAAAAAACATACACATTTTTGAATTTATGAGTTAAAAAGAAAGAAGGAAATTGGTAGAGATTCACTAAGTACTTCATGAAGGCAATGAAAAAAATCTCATTTCTTTCATGGACTTTGGAACAGGCTGTCAATAAGACTGAATAAAACAGTAGTGTAAACCTTGGGACTAAGTATAGATTTACAGTACAAATAGAAAAACAAAACCAATACCATTGTGATCTTACAATCTAATTTGCTTTTAAATTAAAATAAACAGCCCTTAGGAAGGGTTTCACTTTCCTGGGTAGTTTTCACATGCTCCCTCTAGAGAGACTAAGAGACTAACAAGAGAATTTGAAAACATATATTAACTTCCATAATTACATTCAGTTTATAAAAGGTTCATGTAATGTGAAATGATCTGAACCATATTATTAGAGTGAAATGAATAGCATATTTACTTTAACATCATGTAATTCAATATCATAATGAAATGAACAACAGAGTTGAACAAACACAGAAGTGAGAGCTGAGATTAAATTTACTGCCATTATTACAGAGATGAGATCAAAATGAAACTATCTATCTGAATATGCCTTCACTATTGATGTTTCAGCTAGAATGTACATTACATTCAAATTGTCCAGTTATGTTTGTTTTATAATCTTATGAACAGAAAAAGCCAGATCTCATGATTGCTGGTGTCTGTGAAAATCCTCCACACACAAGAAGCTTTTATGAAAATAGAAAACATATGGATCAAAAGGACCCAGCCTTACAGTAACTGAAAAATCAGTCATTAAGGGAATCAGGCTGTGACTTTTTGTATGACGGAAGAGTTGGTTTTGGAAGAAAAGAGGAGAATAACTGCAAAACCCAATTCAAATTTCCTGAAAATTTTTAATATAAATTTCATCCAAGACAAACTTTTATCAGCACATATTGTAGCTATCCTGAGCAAAGACAAAAATATTTCTGACTATCAGAAGCACTGTGTAAGCAGAATACAGAAGCACTGGCTAGGTCTATACTAGCATAAAGTAAACAGACTGGGATTTCCTGCAGCGATGAAGCCAAGTGACAGGCGAGGACTTACATGATCTGGCTAATCTCTCTTCTACCACACAAGACAACTCCAAACCACTGCCTACTGGGAGCAGTGATGCTCCTCTGGCCAGTGGTTTGGGAGAGTATGAGTAGGCAGAGGCCAAAACTATGCTGAGGAACAGGCTAATGAGTATGGGTGACCCCATCCCAGTCTTGAGCCAATGCCTTGACCTTAATTTATTAGGACAGACACATGTACTGTGTCTTGCATGCATACGTTGCTCATTCAAACCATGTATCTTGATACAGATTCTATATCTGCTGGTGACTGATCATGGTATCGTCTGCCAGCAGAGGCAAGGAAATTATACCATTACATTCTGTGAGAAACGATTAGGACTATGAGGTTTCATCAAATTACTTTGTTTTTTCTTTATTCCTTTGACTTTAGTCTCTGCACATGCATCTTCCTGCTGCACTGAAAAGACAGATAAATTTTTGGCAGGAAGACAATTTTTGCCTTCAAAAGATGCTTATTTTCATAGCACTTTCAATTGAGCTGTAACATACTTTTTCTGCTGAGTTAGCAGCCGCTACATACTTCACATAAATATTATCCTGACTCCAGAGTAAATGAAGCATAGCGACAGCAAATTCCAGCTTTGTTGAGCACTACAATTTCTGCAACCATTTAGATCCTGGTTTAGCTTGACTTACTGCTCTGATTCGCTTTAAGCACTTCTTCAGCCACATGCGTATGGTCTGTTTGGCCACCTCCTCTTCTATGGTATATTCCAGTTGTTCCCTAGCAAGCAGCTCTTCCAGTTGAAGACTTTTTCTGATATCAACAGACCTATATGAAAGCATGCTGGAAGAAACAAAATTTATTTTTTTAAATGCTGGTGACCTTACATTTTAATTTAAAAAATCAAAGCTCATACTTAAGACCTTAGTGCAAAAATATGCCATCCAGATGTGTGTAATAAATTCACATTTGAAGCTAAAAAATGCTGAGATGATTCCAGAAGAGACTTGTGGTGCTCAAAACAAGTGAAGACCCTATCACCTACATCTACCTATCAAATACAGGTGAGCTGCTGAACTGTAAGCAATGAGGACATTTGTGAGTTTTGGATATTTTTCCCCTAAGTGTTTACTCCTGGACAATGTTCCCATCTCAATTTTATTTCTAATCAAATTCACTGTCATGTTGCTACATATGTGGGCACAACTTTGCATTGCTTGGGATAAAAGAACACACGACTGCTGTTTAAGGCAAACTTGTAAATGAAAATGTTAAAATTACTTAGAGCTGATTCCCTAGGACCTGTGTTTTCTATTACAATTATTTTTGCAGGACAAAAAGGACATCTAAGTTCTGTATTACATTTAAAACTCCAGTGCCTCTCTGTCTACCAGTCTTGCCTTTTCCCAAGCCTAATGAATACCCTTTAGCCTGGAGAGAAACACAGGCCATTACACCCACTCGACAAATTTAGAGAAAATCTCAGCGTACCTGAGCACGTCATGGAAAGTGACATCACCACCATTATGGAGCCGTTCCATTTCATAGCACATGTGCTTGAACAGTAGCTTGTCTTTGTCGAGATCCACCTCCAGCCTGCCCCGCAGAAGCCTCAGCAGAAATTTCACTCGGAAGGTAGGGATCACTCCCTGGGTAAAATTGCATAATAGGTGATAAATTATTACTGTGACCTAACAACCAGTGCAGACATTCAACTTGATCAGTGAGAGAAACACTATTTCTCCAAAGACTCCATGTCAAACCCTGGCCTATTTAAGTCACTGTGAATGCATTACTGAAGAATATACACATGCAGCCAGCTCTTCAGCACATGCACATCAGTTGTAGTTCATGGAAGACTTTGCTGTTATTTGACTGATACAAAATGGGAATCTGTGCTGTTAATTTTGTCAGAAATTTTCAAAATTGCTTGGGGATTTAGTTCCCCCATTTGCATTAATCTGTAATGAGAATTATATGCCCAAATAGCTGCCTTTGAAAAACTGAAATTAAACTACAGTTTAAACAATCACTGGCAGACCTATTTATGGCTGTAAAATTGTTTTCTTCAATGGGCATCTTTGGACAGGAGAATGCTGGGAGTCTACTGGCTTGTCAAAAGTCTTCTGCTCTAAGAGCCAACATGTGCACATGTTGCACTTTTTGTTAAAAAAAACCAATGATCTGCTGTAAAAAAATAAGAATGGAAGAACTGGTCCATACTGAGACCAGTGCTGTTTAATATCTTCATCAATGACATATACAGTGGGATCAAGTGCACCCTCAGCAAGTTTGCAGATGATAACAAACACACCTGAGGGATGGGATGTCACCCAGAGGGACCTGGACAAGCTCGGACAAGTTGGAGAAGCGGGACCATGTGAACCTCATGAGGTTCAATAAGGCCAAGTGCAAGGTCCTGCAGCTGGGTTGGGGCAATCCTCAGTATCAATACATGTTTTTTTCAAGAGAAAATGTAAATTTATTTGATTTCTGTGGTAATTTTCAAGTTTCTTACCTCTCTTTTGTCATCAACCATGTTCCATATAATTTGAAAATGCCTAAGATCATTATAACTTAAAAGTTGGTCTTCTTCAGTTGAGTAAAACAATGAGAAATTTTCCACAATGATAGCTGAAAACCACAAAACCAAAATACACTATGAAAGAAGCCTGTAGTTACATTCTAACTGGTTAATCTCTATAAGCAACAATGAATTTCAAAAGAATATCAATTCCGTTGTGCAAACTTCACACTAATAAATGCCTTTAGCTGTCATGTTACACCAGTATTCACTGTGCTCACTTTTTAAAAGCTGTCTCTTAAATGCTGGTGAGATGCCTAATCTAACAACTTCTAAAATCAATTAGGAGAATTCCAAAGATGATGGAAAAATGTTAACTGGAAGAAGAAAAAGCTCAGAAAATAATTTTCCTTAGGGCAACTATACCCTACAAATATAACACCTCTTTGTTCAAAAAACTTCCATTCCCAAACTTCCTGAGTTTTAGGGAAGAAGAGAGAAGTATCAAAAACATCATATGCATAAAAGGTAACAGTGAAGGTATAATGTAACCTCATACCTGAATAGCAAGCCAAACTCAAATCTAACATACTACATGCCAAGATGGACCTTTTTGTTATTAATGTATATTTTCACTTACCAACAAGCAAATTTAGCATGATGTATGCAATGATGACATAAAATGAACAGAAATACATAAGAGCGCCAGCATAATTTCCACAGTCTGTTTTCCAGTAGGTGCTGTTATCTGGTGTACAAAATGGAGGTTGAACCTTCAAAACAAAAGAAAAAAAAGTTAATAAATCATAAAAAGAGATCCTTAATTTCTCTGCAATCAATTACAACTATCATTTTTTTAAAGCTTCACAAACAGGGAATAATGCTGTGGGCATTATTGTGGGCATTTTTTTTGTTGTTCCTTCAGTAGTCAGGAATCAGAAAAGAGAGAGAGGTACAATAAAAAGGCCTATGCACTGACCTCTCTACCGCACAGAAGGCATGTTGTGCGTTATGCCACTGTAAAGAAACAACCTGGTGCTCTGAAATGTGGCGGTTTTCAAAAAGATTCCCTGCCCATTAATTTTAAAAAGGAAGGGAATATGGTTTTCATCGCAGTGGAAAACACAGACAGAGATCTACATGGGTAAAATAAAATGATCCCAGGACAGATTTTGAGGCCATTAAACTTCCATTCACACAGAATTAGCCAAAGTGCACGCATTAAAGACAGTGTTAATCTGAAAAGTCACCTTTACAGTCAAAGCAGAGATAACAGTGGAAAAGTGAGTTACTGCACTTCTGATTTTGGAAAGATTTTTTTTATTTTTGTTTTTAAATCATGTAATAGTCTAGCCCCATGAAATATTACATTGTGAGTGTGTGATTGGAACTGCAATTTTAATGTCATTCTCTGTGGTTTAGTGAATATTGTCCTTCTTGAAAAGATAAAGGAAATCATAACATTCCTTGTAGAAAGCTAAGATACTGAAAACACTTTGAGATGCAAGGGTGTCTCCTGTTTCTTGGCTACTTTATCTCTGGCAATATTGTATTTACCATGCAGTCATGCATAATTTTGTTCCAGTCTTCTCCAGTAACTATTCTGAAGAGTACAGTAATAGCCTTGCCAGCTGATGAAAAGTTTGCATGTCTGTTTTAAAGAAAGACAGAGAGAGAGAGACAGAGATCATTTCATGTCTCAGAACTAAAATGTTGGCAAGAAAAAATGCAAATAATTTCAAATTTTGCTGTTCTACTATCTTAAACTGAAAATAATAACAGTATTATTTGAATGAGCTCATTGAATTATTTATTCCATGACTTAAGATATAATAACGGAACTTTAGCTCAGACACAGGTCTGAGTATTTTGGCTCATTTTAAAAAGGAGCAAAAGGAGACTCAGGGCCAGATCCTATCTCCTGTCTCCATTCTTTTCCTGAAGTCTGATCATGCTATTGACTGGGAAATCTCCACTTCACAGACAGTTCAGAACTGTCCCCTTTCTGTATCAGCCTGGTACAGATCCCGTTCCCAGGCGAAGTTGACAAGGTGTAGCTGGCACACTGAGTTTTAGCAGCTCGCGGCTAGCACAGTGCTGCTCTGAAACATATCCAGCTGGCACAGTGAGGAACAGCTCTCAGTCTGCCCTGGGCTGGATCAGGTGTCATTTGTTCCACTGCACAAGGACTGAAAAGATGGCTCAGCATCTCCTATCAGAAATTCTGCTTACAGTTATTTAGCTATACCTAGAGACCTGTCTGGATTTTACCATGGATAAACTTCTCTCCGGCAGAATGTGATTTTTTTCAGGCTGTTTAAAGAACATTCCCATGATGTAGTACATACTGTACCTGTTAATGTTCTCTCCATATTTCACTGTACCAAATAAAACCACTCCAGCAAAAGCATAACAAAGAAGCAGTAAGAACATTCCCACTATGATGAAGAAACTCTTGTACATGCTGACAACCACAGTCAGGAGTAGCATTTTTAGTGTCACCTGGAAGGACAGAGAAAGCAATCCATGATGTCATTCAGGAAAGCAGAGATAAAAGGGAAAAGAGAGTTATTGCACTTGCCAGTTTGGCAATGAATTCCTTACACATATATGTTAATGGATGAGCTCAGTGAAATGGTACCTTTTGAATCTAATTGGAACAGAGTATTTTACATTTTGCTCTGAAATTTAGTGTACTTTTTTACTTGTTAAATAGGTCAGCCTATCTGCCTAACTTATAAGGCCAAAATGTTGCTCCTCAAAGAGTATATGTATGATAATACAGTGTAGGATAGTACAACAATAATACAGCATAAGTTTAACTATTATATTCTAGGATCAGTAAACTCCAGAAATACCAAAACTAGCATTGTGTGAACAGTGGTGCAGGAACCTACTTTGGGCTTATCTGAAAGTGATGCTAATTGTTAGGTGGAAATCACAGATACTGCAACCTTCCTAAATAAATGAGTTGCTGTATAAAGATCAGGATTTCCTTAAAACCAGCACAGCTTGATTAAACTAGTTAAGTTCTGACACAAGTTGGCCAAAGAGCTTATGAATAGAGCACAATTTTGGAAATTACATAGACAGTAGGCCTAGACAATAGAAATTACTTTCCCATGTATGCATATGGTTAATTTTACCCTTGATAAAGTTATTGCTCTGCATTGCCTTAAATAACACTCTTAACCACTTCGGATGCTATGGAAAATTGTCTTATATGGAACTGAGGGTAGCAGTTTTCTTTAGAATCATGCCAAACTGATAACTCATGCTGACTTTTAGCCACCAAATTGTATAACAACAGATAAATTAGTGAAACTGATACAGCTCCTAACATGAAAGCACAAATGAGTAGGTTAAAACTTTGAACAAACTTTAGAAACAATCAGAAACCTTTGAAGGCAATCACTTGACATGGCTGCATAGGAAAAGCAAGGATTTTTAATTCTAAGGCTCTACAGGCTCTGTGTACTTTGATTGATGGAAAACCTTTTATCTGAACAAACCCCCTGACTTACTGTTCTTAACCCCATCAATGCAGTATAGCAGTCTTTTTATCACATTTACTTTAATATGTCAAGACTAAAAAGTTCTACAGCAAGAGAACGCAGTGTCACCACTTGTTCAACAAACGTGTTCGTTCTCTGCCTATGCTTATTCTGCCAGCCTGCTCTCAATTACATCAGAGCAAACGCAAACACGAAAGAAGTGTAAACTTTAGAAGTGACTTGCTTTGTCACAAACTCAGTGTTTCCAGAAGACTATCTTGCCTCAGTATTTTTTAAAAATACTCCACACCACACTGACATTGGGAGGTCTGAAAGTAGCAGAATGTATGTTCACAGTTTTGGAGAGCATTTTTTGAAAATTGTGTAGTATTAACCATTATATAGTGCTATTATGTAATATACCTAAAATTCTGACATTTTAAATACAGCACGCAAAAAATGGAAACTGCTACTTGAAGACTCCTTTTTTGTCATATAAAATAGAGCCTTACAAAATGTGCACTAGAGATGCGTAGCAACTAGTCCTTTAATTTATACATGAGCACTGCAATGGTTGTAGTTCCTGATTTATACTTACGTGCTTCCCACAAATTGAGAAAAACCTGAAGACAATTACACATGCCCCCATCATATATGTATATGCATTCTGGAACAGAAACACAGAAGACTTAATACACTGTCCCCCAGGGATCTCATGGAAAGATCAGGATAATTGGTCTTTCAGTAATGTAGGGCAGTCACCACATGTAAAAAGAGAAATCATAAACCAGTAGCACCAATATGTCAATAACAGTGGAGCAGTATGAAACTAATAGAAGATGCCCTACCACTTCAAAATCACTAACCCAACCTCCCCATACATCAAACCAATAAACCTTCAATCCTCTATTAGCTGGGTTGTAATTACGTCCAGCAGTCCCAGTCTACTTGTCTAGGCTAGCTGCTGACAAGCAACATCTATACCTTCTCCTTCCCTCATAAGTAAGGGAACCAGGGATGTAGCCAACTTGACAAAAATGGGATGAGGTGGAGGGAGAGCTGATTTCCTCCCCTCTGCTCCATATCTTCTTGGATTAAACACAGCCTCTTAATCAAAACCAGTGGTCCAGAATCACTGCTTGGTTTGGGACAGATTGTACCATTCAGCGATTTTGAATCTATGCCTTCTTCCTGTCCTCTGTTCCTATCTGGATTTTGTGCGTTGCCTCTTTCTTCCTTGCTGCTCATGAGACTGCTGTTGGCAAGAGCTCTGAGTCTCTTCAGTTTCCTTCCTTTCCTCATGCACATCTCTTCCAAAGACTTCAGTTTTTATCCACATTGACAGACTCTATTTCATATCGGACAACTTTTGGACTTCATCATTGACCAAGACAAGGATTCTTTCTTCTTAGCATCAAGCTTAATTTGTTTCAGACATATTTCAGCCTTATTAAAGTCCCAAAGGTTTATGTGGATGTACAGCAGTGATCTTACTGCTGGTCCTTAGCAGATAAAAATCAAGCTTAATAATTGAAATTGTGCCTTGGAAATCATAGATTCATTATGGTTGGAAAAGACCTTTAAGATCATCAAGTCCAACTGTTACCTCACTCTACCATGCCCACTTCTAAATCATGTACCTGAGCACCATATCTAGATGGCTTTTAAATGTATCCAAGGATGGTGACTCAACCACCTCCCTGGGCAGCCTGTTCCAATGCTTGACAACCCTTTCAGTAAAGAAAGTCCTCCTAATATCCCACTTAAACCTTCTCTGGCACAACTTGGGGCCATTTACCCTTGTCCTATCACTAGCTACCAGGGAGAAGAGATCAACCCCTACCTTGTTACAATCTCCTTTCGGGTAGCTGTAGAGGGTGATAAGGTCTCCCTTCAGTCTCCTTTTCTCCATGCTAAACAACCTCAGCTCCCTCGGCTGCTCCTTATAAGACTTGTGCTCTAAACCCTTCACCAGCTTCCTTGCCCTTCTCTGGACACACTCTAGTGAGTCTAGTTTTTATCTCCTTCCCCCTTCAAATCTAGTTTAAAGCTCTTTCTATAAGCCCTGCTAACTCTTGTCCCAGGATCCTTTTCCTGCTTTGAGATAGGTGTACCCCATCACTTGCCAACAGACATGGTGACGTGTAAATCAACCCAAAGTCCTGCCTGTGGCACCAGTCTTGGAGCCAGGAATTGATCTGCTGGCTCTTCCTGTTTATCCCTTCATAATTTCCTGTGACTGGTGGGATAGAGGACAACACTGCTTGTGCTCCCGATCCCTTAACCAGCTGTCCCAAGGCCTTGAAGTCTCTCTACATTGCCCTCAAACTACTTGATGTAATTTCATCACTGCCTACCTGAAAGATCATTTACAGTTAGTGGTCTGAGGGCTGAACTAGGGTAGGGAATTGTTCCTGTACATCCTTAACCCTGGCCCCTGGGAGGCAGCAGACTTCCCTAAGGAATGGGTTTGCTCTGCATATGGGACCTTCTGCTCCCTTCAGAAACAATTTCCCTGTGACAAGTACCCGTCTGTTTGTCTTTATTTAAGATGTTTTTATGTGTGGCTTTGTCTGACTGAGACACAGTGGTGCCTTTGAGCTAGGTAAGTACTTGTTTTGCAAGGGCACCTGGGCACTTCCTTACCAGTAAGGCGAAATGAAGTATCACCCAGATAACTCCAAGAGATGTCACCAAGAGATCGTACCGATTTCTTCTGCTTTGCCAGAAGCCAGAAGGTGACATGGCAATAATCTTCATTGTGACCTATTAATAAAAAACAATTTCTCAGTTGTATGGAATAAATGGTTATTTCATACTGTAAGAAACTCCAAAGTTAATCTTATGAATGTTTTCAAAAAATCAAGGGCGGCTTTAATGTCAGCTAACTCTTCTCATAAAGACAAGTTAGGCTGCTAGACTATATGGGTCATATAAACTTCCTTTTAATGGAAGAAAGCTGGTACTTGTGGAAGACTACAGATGATTGAGATGAGGAGGTGAACAGTATTCTGAAAGTGTCTCTCTCCATCAAGTATTGAAGGAGTCCAGCTGATGACCTCAGAGTGAATGCTTATTGTATATATTGCTGAGGGGAATGTAGGCTTCAGAGTTCTAATAGTGAAGCCAGTTATGAAGTTAGAAAATTATTATATCAGTAATATGTAGCTAAAAGAGTTAGTATCTTATCTATCTAGCTGTCCATGAGCAGGCTAAAATCACATAAGTATATTTGAAATCAAGAATATAATTGTGTTCTGTAGGACCCATATTTCAAATTAATTAAAAAACTTTCCTATATTGCAAATATTTCTTGCTTCAAGGAATGATCTGTACTCAGCAGCATATAAGAAAAGGAAGCTAAGAACAGTAAAGACAGCACATTTTACAATGTTTCTGGTAAAAAACAGCAGCCAAAGTGCTTAACATTTCCAATACAGGTAACAGGAGTGCAGGCAGGAAGCTTAAGAATGGATACAGATAAGAAACAATCACAACAGCTAATAGGTAGGGTGATGCATGTAGAGGGAACACCAGAGAGTTTCTCATATACAATTTGTATTAAACCTCAAAGCAAGTCAAGTGCTACTATATAAAGGCTATAAATGTCATGCATTCATTATACGATTTTTCCCACCCCACCTTGCAACGCTGCCATTTAGTAGTATCTTTACATTTCTGAAACCTAAGCTGTATATAAAGGGACACTAGCTTGAAGTAAAAGTCTGACTTTTTAGTTATTTTTTTTCTGTATAAAGTTTTCTGAATCCTCACTACATTGTCTCTGAATCTCTGATTCTCATTTGAGGTACCTGATGGTATCTTTCCTCACCTCTGTCCAGACAGCTGAGATGCCCTAGAATATTGAAGACAGATGCATGGGGCTGGCAGGGAGAACACAAGACCTGCAAACATCCCTGCTCTTCTGTAGAGGTTAGTGTAGGTAAGGGGAGATCAGCTAGGGTATCCAAAAAAGCTTTTGATGCTTTCAGTTACTTAAGCAACTTAATCTCACCCTATATCTCCCTTGATCACAGAAACAGCTTAAATGTCTACCTCACATATAGAATTTAAACACCTAAGTTCACACTTCTGAAATCTTGAACTAAACACCACACTGTGCAAATAAAAAATGACATCTTGCTTTATTCTGTGATCATCAGTGTGGAAACAAAAGTGAGACCTTCAAATTCTTCCTGTTCTTCTGTACCACATACACTGAGGTGAGCAATAGCGGTTTAAGACTGAATGTGTCCTGTCCTTAGACTGGACACAGGGCCATCAGTTATGCTGAAAGTTTTGGCCTTCCTCAAGGACCATGTCTGCTAGTGGTAGCAGTACATCGCAGACTTTCTAACCAGACCATGTTGCATTAGGGAAGACCCTGGGCAGGAAGCTGCTCCCAGAATCGTCCATAAATTGTGTGCACTCACAGTGTGACAACTTGCCTGTTGAGACAGTCAACAAATTTCTCTTGGCTCTGACAAACTTCCTTTGAAATTCTAGAAGTGCATTTGTTTCCCTTGGCAGTATAAGAGAAAAAAAGTATTTCTAAAGACACAGTTACTTGGTAAATTAAAACGTATCTGTGTATGACACAAATCAAACTTTTCTGTGTTTGCTCAGTCTCTCAAGAGATATTGATTCTCCTGGGTAGGGAAAAAAGAAGCAACAACACGGACATACTCTAGCTACAGCTGCTACAAGGTATTCACTTCATTGTTTATTCATCACTGCTGGCAAAACCTGTCACTGGAACACAGGAACTGTCACATTGGATTAGAGCAGCGGGAAATGTCATCTACTATCCTGTTTCCGATAGCGGTCACTATCAGCTGTTCAGAGGGGACCGAAAAGAAAATACTCAACCACAAACTTAGAGAAGAATTATGGACTAACCCAACCACAGAAGAAGCATCTTCTTTAACCTCATAAATGTGTGGTTTGTTACACTACAGATATCCTTATAAAATAAAAAAATAAATAAATAAGCTTTTTTTCAAAAAAAAAAGACCTTAGATTCCAATCTTATGAAAACTGGCTGATTACACTTTGCACAGCTGATTGTGGTGACAGTTTTCTCATAGATAAAGAACCATTACCATATAGGATCCAGATCTGTACAACAAATGACAGATAATACTGGAATTTGACATAGCTTATTAAAAGGTATTAAAATGAAGTATGATAATTAAAGAAAACCCAACAAAACTAAGAGAGGTTTGAAGATGTCACAGCTACAGAATGGTGGGGATTAATGCACCCTCTTCTAAAGAACTAGGCAAAATATAAATGGATTGAGCAGAACTTCCCTGATACAATGCAGACCTTATGTTGTAGAGAGTGAATTTAATCTGAGATGTTATTCAAGAAAAGAGTTCACTGGGTTCACCAAAACACAAGTTGAAATGCTCAAAGTTGACTATACATACAAGGACACAAAGCTAAAGGTGGTAGTGAAGCATGACTATAACAAATTAAAAGTTTGCAACTACAATACATGTTTAAAGACAAGTGACATGGAGAGCCCTAAATGTATGTGTTCAGAAATAAAAAATGTAGTCAAGAATAAGACAACATCCTTAAAGCCAAAATGAAACATATATATATGTTGAGCTTAATCTCAAGAAAACATAAAGTATATTACTTTACCTCAAGGACAAAAATGAAGGTGAAAACAACAGACATTGTTGCTAAAGGCACAGTCACCGGATCTGCAGCATCCCACTGAAATGCAAACAAAATCTGCTCATAGGAAAGTAGCTGTTAAACAGAACAAAATGTCTATTCATTGCCTTAACTATCCTTGCAGGTCTTGCTAATGAATAGATTTCAATTTAAAATAACATTCATACAGGAATGGCATCTTGGTGTATTCTTCTCTAACAGATTTACAGCTTAACTGGAAATGTAAAATTTCCAGACTAGACCACAAAAAGGCAGAAATTGACTCAGCTCCACAAGTTACAATTAATCAACAGCGATTTGTGCCAGCTGAAATTGCTGTATCTAGATTTTTTTTCCCTACATTCATCACAGTAATGGGTCAACTGATCATTAATTGGTGTTAGGAGATGTGCAACACATGCTGTACTACTATAATGAAACGCTTAAAAAAACTCACAATTACCTTAACTGATAACAACACAGATTGGGCCAGGACAAGTACAGCAATAGTTCTCTTAAAAAATGGATGCTGAGTTATATCATACATCTTAGCTCTAAAGCCATCATTATCTGAAAAAGAAAGAGTTTGAGGAGGAGAGTTAAAATACAAAGTGGTATTTTTTCCCTATTTCTTGACATATTTTCCATGTTCATTAGGGGCAAAATAATCCTTTGCCAGTTTCAAAATACTTTTCTAATTTTGTGCTACAATTTTCCATATCAAACAGGGCTTCTGAACATATAATTTCAAATACTGAACACCAGTGTTACATGAAGGCTTTGGTACTTGTAGGGCAAGTGCATCATTCAACTGTTGTCAGGTTAATACATTCAATTCATATCATTAACAGTCAACTGCAAAATATTTTTCATTTAGAAATTCATTTTTTCATTAAGGCTTATCCTAAAACCATCGAAGCACAACCTTTTTTGCGTTGATTTTAATAGCTTTATGCAGAGATCTGTGGTTGGAGCCTGTTTCCACATTAACTTACACACAACCTCCTAGTGGCCTCACGATTACAATTTTAATTTGAATCGCAGACTCCTGGGGAATTATGAATACTAGGGCTCAACATGAATAAAATCAAAATATCTTTGATACCCGGACGAGGTGGGAGATGAAGAGGTTGAGCTATCTTCAGTCTGCTTTTCAGATCTTCCCATCGTCTCTGATCTACAGTCAGCAGAGCTGTCCCCTTAATAAACAAAGAGAAGCGTACAAAGCTTTTGTCATATAAAAGCTAGAATATTTAACGCTGTAAACATAAAAACAACAGCCTCTTTCATGCCTGAAATAAAGTTACACATGCAACTCTCCTTGAACAAGACACTGTTTGGGTAAAGAAGTCAAAGTATCAGCCTGTACTCAAGAGGATTTCTGGATGCATTAGCTGTGAGTTTCTGGGACTCGACTCAGCAGGCACAGTTGTTGCTCTTTGTAGCAGCAGTCCAGTGTGGGCAGTGAAACACTGCAGGAGGTCTTCCATTTGACTGAACATCATTTGCCAGGAAACACTGTTTTAAAGCGTGGTCGATTTTGTCCAGACTTTGCTGCAGAAAATCCTGTGGCTTGTTAGTGCCACTACAGTTTCTTGGGGAATGAGCCCTCTAGGAGATCGCTGTCACTTTCCACAGCTCTTCTGTTTGGAATGTAATTGAAATAAAATAATACTACTCTACGAATCTACAAGACCTCTCTACAAAGGAAGCACAAGGAGAGGTGGAGATACACCTTTAGGGCGGTCAGTGGTAGATGGTAATGTGTGTAAATGTTTTAATAACAGGAAGAAACAAACAAACCCCAATTCAATGTTATTTAAAATGACCTTCAAAACAAAATGAGGTCCTCATCACTTCAGAAACTGTAAAATCTCACAGAAGGAGTCAGGAGTTAAAAAAACAAGGGAGACCTTTTCAAGGTAAATGTCACAAGCCTGTCTCCCAGTCACTTGGCTGCTCCCCCAGTCAGCACACAGCCATGCTGAGCTGAGCAGGAACTGGTGTAATGTTTGGGGCTTGCCTTGACATTGCCTTGTGTAGGCGCTGGAACTGTGTCTGGCTGTGCAACTGATAAGGTCAGGAGAGCTTCCTCTTGGTGGACATAATCTCTTTATGGAGCTATGCCCCTAGATGGCACCCTGGGAGGAGGTGCCTTCCAACACAATGCGGAGAAAGCGACTGATAGCAGGATGACTATTACTTGAGCCAGGCCCAAACTGTACCATTTAGAAACATTTCCACTAAAAGGTAACCAAATGAGTGTGTCTGTTTCATACTCTTGGAGAGCTTTCACCACAAAGAAGTAAAAAGGTGGCAAAAAGGTGGACCTTTGTAAAATTTAGAAACAGTCATGCCAAGTCACTCTGTTTCTCAGAAACTACTGCTTTCACCAACAGGATCATTATACGAAGACCACAGAGCAGAGTTTTGCAAGTGGGACTACTGCTGGAGAAGCTGCATTTGCATTTGGACTTCAGCTCAAAACTGCCAGGTAATATTTGATTTGATCACATCTTCACTGCCAATTGAACATGTGGCACCTGGGAGCTGTGACAAGTGATGTGCGGGGGTTGTGAAATGGGAGGTGGTGGAACATTTAGGGCAACTGCCCTGTTGCTGGGAGAGCTGAGGACCCAGCACAGAACTCCCTGTGGTACTTCCCAGTCCAACGTCTCCAGGCCTGCAGCTCCAGCAGCTCACATGAAATATCAGAATGATAAATGTAAAAATCAGATCCTTTTCTGAAAATAATGGGAACCCTAATTCAAGCCCTGCACCTCATATTTCCACATTTTATGCTGGCAGCTCATGCAGGGGGGATCTGGGCTAAGATGAACTGTTTAATTATCTCCTGAGCCTTCTAAGTCTTGTGCTCACACCTTCCTCTCATTTTGAATCACAGTGAACATAAACTTTCAATTTCCACATGAGTTTGACCTGTCCTGTGTCTTTAAAGCTGCATATCTAGGAGGATGGAATTAAATGTGATTTTGATATGCAGTCACACATAATTAATGGCTTTTTTCACCGGTTCATGTTCATATCTCAAAATCTATGCTGACATTGTGGGTAAATCACTGCAAAAGTAACCTATGGGTTGGCCCAGATCACCTTATTCCATAGTCAGTGGTTGACTACACAGATGAATACTATATAATGAGCTAATGACTACTATATAATGACACTAATTTGTGAAAGAAATCTCACAGGCTGCCTTTGCAGGAGACAGGCTGATACAGCGAACTTGATCTTAGTAGGAACTAAGAGTGAAAACACTGTCTAGGAGATTGACAGCACTTAGTAAGATTGGGTCTACTGTCACAAAAGCACAATAAAAGTCATACTAGTAAGGGCAAAGATCCAGGTCCCCTAGTACCTTTTTTCTATGACAATAACCAAAAGTTGCTCCTGATGATTCTCCATTGCCCACAGAGCTGGCACAGAATTCATGACAGATCACATTCAAGACAAGTGCAAAACTGAAGGGGAAATGTACCACTTCATCACTCCTCAACACCACATGCACCACGTAACAGGGTAAAGGAAACATGTTTGATCAACCATGATCAAAAGCGGACTCCACAATGTGATAGTTCTTCTTCTTACCTATACTTGTGCCTATAAACAGGTTTTTGAGGAAACTGACCTGTGTAGTAAGTGTAAAGGGGACTGAAGAAACAATTTATATAGAAATGCTCAGCATTTCTCTCATCCTTCTTGACTTCATTTCATATTGCCTTGCTTGCCCACATTGGACACACGGTAGTGTGCTGCTCAGCTCCCTTCCAGAAGGAGTCAAGTGCTTTTCTTGAAGGGCAAACTCAACAGTTGTGTTTGCTATGGAGTTCAGGCCATGGCCACAGCAGGGTCATGGCCAGCACCCAGTTTCTCTCTGGCACTAGCATACTGGGTTATTTTGCACTCCCAAGCCCCAGTGCACACAATCATTCTTTCCCTCCAGTGCCATGAGTGATAAAGATATCACTCTAGCTAGCTGATATCCCATTATTTGGGAGCACTTTGAACCGAAAGGTGATAAAAATTAATAATTATGTCTTGGTGCCAGAAGAGGCTCAGAAAAAGAAGAGTCATATTAAGGGCTGTGCAGTGTGTATGCAGCAGTCCCATCTAGAAGGACGCTACCTTTAAGCAGTGTAGACATGAGCTGCTCTGTAACAATTCACCTGGGGACAGGTTTTTCTGCTTTCCAGGCTAATCTGCAAAGCCCATGTGAACTGCAGTTTTTTCCTAGAACATCAGCTACTTTTTTGTTTTGAGTGATGGACAGTTAATTTTACAACGTACTCTGGTGTTTGCCAGGAAAAAACCATGCAGTGTTCCTTTGGATCTGAAATACTGCAATTGCAGGGCTCTAATGAGACCCCTTAGTTGTAACACATAGAAGCATAACATGCCTTTTTACCTGCCACTGCATGTACACCTATATCAAACTCAACAAACAGAACGCAGAGCATCCATAAATACATTGTGCTTCAGGTTCAATCTCCATCTGGCAACATGGCTGCATTGTAAATAAAATCAGCCAGTTTTGTAAGAGTGTGTGATGGATTGCCATCATCCCAGGCTTGGGTTCTGTAGCAAATAAGGATCAAGTGTGTCTGAAGCCATACTTGCAGACTTGCATAATGTAAGAATGGTGAGTCAGTCTTAAACGTGGTCTCATTAGGTAGTGCAGACAGTGTAATATCAATTTCAGGTTTTTTACAGAGCCAGTTCTATGCATGATAAACAATCTCACTCAGTACCTTGTTTTCATTGAAATTAGCAATGACAACTCCAACGAAAAGGGTCAGTCCAATCATGCAGCCCAGGAATACAAAAACATGAATGTAGATTCCATGGATCTGAATAGAAAAACAAAAAGATTAAACATTAAACCAAATCAAAATATGTGTTGTAGAATTGAAAGACTCTGATGTGTTTCCTTACCGGCCCAACGCGATGAATAATAACATCTCTGACTTCCACCCAGCCTTTTAATGAAAGGACTTCAAATAGTGCCAGCATTGCATTCCCCACATTGTCAAAATTAAAATTCCGAGGATTTGCCCTGAAATGCAGTACACAAATAGATGTAACATCAGCGATAAAGTTATTCTTTCTATCTGTCCTATTTGTTTCTATCTTACCTTGATTCTTCATAGTCTAACATTTTAATACCTTGCCAAGATGGTGTGAAAGCCTCTAAAATACATCACCCAAAGTTCTGTCTCAAGAATATCAGAACAGTAGCAACAGCAATAAATATGTACAGCATAATTTTTCTTGATCCCTATGTATGTTTTACCATGTTACTCAGAATCTGATTCATAGTACTAAAGCTTATAACACATTGCTGACTTTTAGTGGTTTTGTCAATTAAATTAGCAAAATACAGCATTCATCATAAAATGGATCTGATGGCATTGGCCAGATCGTAAAATAAATTTGCCTGAAGAAGACCAGTTCCAAACCCACATAAATGATTTGGACTCCAAAGTCAACGAGATAATTTAGAAAATGTTTCTTATTTCAATATCATTGGGAACTAATGGTCTAAAGCAAAAACTTACTGAGGGGACATTACATCTTCTTGTCTTTCCTATACCACATGCTCTGACCTTTTGTATCAGTTGAGATTCAAGAGGATGTTTCCAGCTGAACATTAAAGGTACCCTATTTGGGCTAGGTTAGCACCCTGCTCTGTCTCTACAATCCAAGACAGATAATGCAAGGAGCCCAGTTAATGTTCAGGAGTTTATAAGGTAAATAGTTGTATTCCAGAAGAACTGTTAAATGTTTGCTGATTCTGAAAACGCAACCATTCAGTAAAAAAGTAACCTCTCAGATGCAGATATTTCTTTTACATGTGGTCCTTATACTGGCATCTGGCCTGACACAGCCAACAGGTGGTATAAATGTCCTTGCGGTAAAACATTTTTCTGCAATAACAAAGCATTCCCCAAAGTTTACAGTTATGCTGATTAGGACAGTTTTTGCTTATTTCTGGATCAAGCTGAAGAGGATTGGATTTGCTTATTTGAGGAAGAATTTGTCTGAAGCATACAGTAACAAAGACTTCTGCAGATGTCAGAGTTTTACTGACTGTTCAAATCACAGTATATTATTTCATTAGTGCAGGATGGCTCTGAATCTACCACTGCTGGTATATCCTTTATCCATGCACATAGTCAATTAAAATAATTGTGGCTGTTTAGCTGACTTTGCAAAATGCCAACCAACTTTAAAATATAAACAATTAAAGAGAGGGTTTTTTGCCTGTTCAGATGTTGGGAAATATTAAATGGAATTTATTGGAATACTAATCATAAACATAATACTAGTTTTTAAGTATTTTTTTGCTGCACTACTGCACCAGATAGACCACAAGGATTCTCTGCATTGGGAATAGAAAGGAGCTAGTAGCTGGCATGGGGTATGGCCACAGAAGAGAAAGGCTGGTTTTAGGCATGACTTGTTCATTGTTTTTTGTGGGTAGCTGTAAGCAGGTTGATTTAAATTTCTTTTTCTTCCTTTGTTTTCCTATTTATTTTTAGTTTCTGGTGTAGAGGTATGACTCTCAGTATGTCTTCATAATAGTACTAAAGCACAACTAAGTGATACTCTTGGTTCAGGCCAGTAACTCCCACTGTAATAATAATCACATCTAATTCCTACCTCGATTCAGCATCTATCTTTCTGCTTTATGTTTAAGACTGAAAAAGTGTCATATATCTGGCTTTTTACTAAATACACCAGAATTTTTACCCTTAATATAATCTGACTTACAACAAAAACCCTCCATCAGTAGTTTAATGTCATGAGATTTGAGACATATTCTATATCAACAGCTGAGTTTTTGAAGAAAGATAGGCCAATATGCAGCAACTCACCAGACTCGTGGCACCCAAAATCCAGGCTTCTTCTCTCCGGGTCTTAGCTTTAAATTGAGATTTTTGGAAACACTGACATTTATTCTGAAGATGCCATGACAATCTTCCTATAGCGAAATAAACCACAGTGTGAGATTAAACAATGGCCTGTGAGAGATGCCAAAATGCCAATATAGACAGCATGCTTGCCATGATGGGTAAGTGATGCAAACAGAAATGAAGGGTTATTTACAGGCCTGGGATTAATAGTCATGGAACTTTATCTGAAGGAAAAATGCATCCTAGAAGGATTCAAAAAGCCCTTTTCCTTCCAAGACTGAGAGTGTTTTCAGTTTGCAGAGCATTTCAGCTCTTTCCTGAAGACCACTGCTCTCTTTACACAGAATCACACAGAATCACAGAATG